TCTGCTCCAGCTTACGCCTACGCTGCTCCCTCCCCAGTTGTAACCAAATACGCTGCTGCCCCAGCTTACACCTACGCTGCTCCTTCTTACCATCATTAAAACAGTTATTGTAACGAAAGAAAGTAGCAAAATTTATTTATTTTGAAAGTCTGAATAAAACAAAAATGTACGATTAGATGATGTGTATTTCCTGTGGTGCATCCTTATTTGGTAAGCTATTTCATACGTAAAGCGAACTAGAACTTAGCAAAAGGTGCATTCATTACAAGTCGAGAAAGACTTTTTTCGATTAGACGGCATCCGGCAGTCCAAGGAACGATTTTCACTTAAAATCTAACATCCATTACTGTTTTTACATTACTGTTAGCCGATACTTTTCAGTTATACTAGAAATTCCTTCAGTCGAATGACCGTGAGATAGCTGATTAATTCCTACACAGTTTAGACCCTGCGAGCCATCAGAGATGGACGGAAACAGTGGAGAACTTCGACTTTACAAAATCCAGCAGGAAAACATGCTCACCACCTACTACAAAACTGGGCAGCAGCAACCAAATATTACGAGCGGACACTCCGATAACTCCAAACGCAATCGCGTCCTATATTATAGAAACTTTCAATCAGATTACCTTACTCATGACACTAAATATTCTTGCTCTAATCATTGATGAACAGTTCAACGGCTATAAATTTCGTTTTCAGATCAAGTTGCCGAAGCAATGATGTAAAGCTCTGTATTTAAAACGGACGGTCATTAGGTATATGAGCATTATTATTAGCACATTTATTACAGAATGTTTAACATTGATGATCGCATATACCGTATTGATGATCGCGTATACAACATAAAGTAAAATGTCGTCCCAACATTCAATTTAGAACTATAAGATTCATATTCTTTGCAATACAACAATTACTCTACAACTACAATCAACTAAATCACAGTTTATTACTGTCTTAAAGTCTTTTAAACAATAGGGCTCTAGATTTATTATCATGTCTTTGATTTCCCGTGCAAACAGTTTCTCAAGATTTATTAATTGAAATCTAACCGGTATTGAACAATTTTATGCACATGTAGTGTGGACAAGTTTCAGTTACTGCTAGTCGATGTTGTATTTGTCCTCATGTTATTTTTTGCTACAAGATTGAAAAAGGGTTTGTTTCGAATAAAAAATATTAGGCATTCATATATGTAAAGCGCATATGCTGTAAGAATTCCCATTTTTTTCTTAGCTGATCTGCAAGTTTCGAGGTATTCCCTCTAATTTATTATCCTAATAAGTCGCTTTTGTGTGACAAAAACGTTCTTCATCTAACCATTTTTACCCCAGAAAATTATGCCGTATTGTGTAGCACAGACTCAAATTTGCGAGACATAATTGCCTACATGCACTCCGGTTCATACATCTGCCAACAATTCTAATACCATGTTGTGTGGTATTGTATCTGTTGATGAAAACTCTTTGCTTTGCATTTTCTAACGATTTGAAACTTTCACCACTTATAATAATGTCCTTCAATYCGGATGTCATAGCTCGTTTTGTCCTAAACAGTAAAATGTGTGTTTTTCTATTGTTTAAAATTAATTCATTTGTTTTAAACTATTTATTTACTAGTTCAACAAATTGCTCCGCTTTTGTAATCAAATCCTCCACTTGATCAACATAATATGTGATCAAGAACTAAGAGTTGGTACATCGTTGACAAATAACATGAACAAGACAGGACCCAGGATGCTACCCTGAGCTATGCTAATCCCACCCCCCACATTTCGGATCTGCAGGTTGTGCCGTTATTTGTTATAGACACTATTTGTTTTCTGTCATTTATGTAAGATATTAACCTGTTTTTTTTTGTTACCTCTAAAGCCATATTTATCCAGCTGAAGACCAAGTATATTCCTATTTAAGCAGTCAGAAGCTTTTAACGAATCTAGTAACATTCCAGCTGCGAATTTACCCCTCTCCAACTAGTCCAGTATGATTCTAATAAACTAAAATATGCCGGATTGGGTAGATTTTCCTTTTATAAAGCCATGCTGACAGTTGTTAAAAATGTTACAATTTTTTTTTAACTTTCGGTCTTTTATCTATTGCAAGTTCAAAAATTTTTCTTCTTCAATATTGCCCTTGAAGCTTGAAAATCGTCCTTGTTTTTTCCTAGAAAAGACACAGTTATAATTTAAATTAGTTGTTGTATTAGCTTCAAAGATGATCTTCTGGGCAGATATACAATTTACTAAATAATGAATAATAACAAAAATAATAAAATATTGTCTATACAGCTAGAGGCGTTGTTAGTTATACAAGTGGCTTCAAATATCGTTGGTGACAGGTTAAATGACCGCATTAAGCACATACATTCTGATTTCCATTTGTTTTCTTTCAGCATTTCAATGTTAAAGTCGCCAACAATAAATACGTTTTCACTTCTTTAGAAACAACAGTTAAAAGTTTCTCGATTCTTTGGATGAAGGCCCTCAAACCTCCACCAGGTGGTCTATATATG